TTTTTTGTTGACGTCACCCTCAAAAGTAACACTTAACAATTAAAGAGTTGAATTTAACGTAGTCTCAACACAATTTGCATCAATATATTCTTGGTCGCTTTCTATACTGAATATATTTTCACTTTTTTGTTTCAAAACTTTTCAGGACATAATATTAATGAGAAAATTATTAAATGGATAAAAGCAGAGATTTATGGTCTCTTTCTCGGGGAAAACTCTTCGTTTATTGCATATTATATTTTAGGTGCATGAAGTCTCGAACGTTCAATTAACGAAAAAGCTTGCAGAGTAGATTTTCTCCTATTCTGCATCACTAAATATAAATTCATTAATGACAAAAATAGCCTTTTCTTTACAGTTATGTCAAGTTTTTTTTGGAAAAAGATAAAAATTATATTCAGCGTTTCGAAAAAGTCAAACAGGGTGTCTATTATTTTCGTTCAACAAAATTCACGGTCTCTCCTGGCTGTGTCCTAATTTTTCCCAGTTTATTGTCTCATCAAATTTCAATTTATTTGATTTTGAACATAAATAAATCTACAAATTTTATTGAAACAAATGTTCTGTTAAATTTATTTACAAATATCTTTAATTGTAAAATTATTCGAAAACAATCATTTCTTTTTTGAATATTTTAAATAATAATTATTATTATTTTTCCATAGGAATTAAGACATTCAAAAATTTTTAATTCAAACCTTCTTGAAATTAAACAAATTATAAGAGTATTGTTATAAAACATGAAGAAATGGATTGCTCCGAGTCAAAGACTCGGAGTGATCGATTTCTTCATGTTTTATAACAATTAAAGAGGATCGAGTGTTAAAATCATTATTTTATATTATAAGAATATTGTTACTGTAACTGAAAAATTATTTTCATATTCTATTATTATTTAAAATTTAAACTAAAATTCATTTTCAAATCAATTTTTATTAGAAAATTCTACGAGAATTTAATTATTTAAATACAAAAGTAAATTATTTATTCAATAATTGAATGTTTCTTAAAATTTAATTCTTATTAAAGAATTTTATTAACAAATTTTTAAATAATTGAATTCTTTTCACGAATTTTAAAAAAATTTTGTTAGAATAGTTACATTTTTCAAGGAATTCGATTAAAATTGTATTAAAAATAATTGAAATTCTGCGATAAGTTTTATTATTTCTAAAAAAAATTGAATTATTCAGAAGAAACTTATAAAAAATTTGTAAATATTTGAATTCATGGGAAATTTTTATTATTTATGAAAATAATTAAATGTTTGCGTACAATTTTATTAAAATTGTTTTTAAATAATTGAATTCTTTTGGGTAATTTTATTAAAATAGTAGAAATTGGAAATCATTCAAAATGAGGAAAATTTTTGAAAATAATTGAAATTTTGACAAGAATTGTATTCAAAGTTTTGAAAATAATTGAATTTTGAAGAAAAATTTTTTTATTTATACAGATAATAATTGGGATTTTGTCCAGATTTTTTCGTAAATTTTTAACATAATTGAATTTTGTGATCAAAATTTTATTGCTTTTAAAAATTTAGTTAGTTTAGTTAGTTATTTTTAAAAAAAATTGAAATTTTGAGAAAAATTAAATAAAATTTTAAACATAATTGAATTTCTGCGAAAAATTTTATTACCTTTGAAAATAATTGAATTGTTTTTTAGAATTTTATGGAAATTTATGAAAGTAATTGAATTCTTGTAAAGAATATTTTTTTTAAATATAACATTCAAAAGAATTTAATAAATGTGAAGAATTTTGCTATTTATGAAAGTAATTGAATTCTTGAGAAGATTTTTTTTCAGTTTCTAGAAATAATTGATTTCTATCGACGAATTTTAATAAAATTTTTATGAATAATTTCATTTTTCGAGGAATTCGATTAAAATTGTATTAAAAATAATTGAAATTCTGCAGTGAGTTTTACTATTTATGAAAATAATTGAATGTATTGCGAAGGAATTTTTAAAACAAAAATTATAATTACGGTGACTAACTTCCCTTGATTATTTTCGAAAAATTTAAATAAAATTCTTTTAAAAAATTAAATTTTTTTTAATAGAATGTAAAGAAATTTCAATTATTTCAAAAATTTTCAATTACACTGTGCAACAATTTTCGGTTTATTGTTTCTTTCCCAAATAAGTGTAGGCTTAAATTGAAGTAGATGTATGCAAAAAAAAACCCCAAAAGGATTTTGCAAACTTAGTTCATTTCATATTTTTATGAAATTTGAAAGTTCATGTTACAATTTATGATATTTTTAAAAAATCTTGCACCTTTTGTGATATATAATTTTAAAAATAGATTGTTTAAAAAAATTGTTTTGAATATTCTTTCCTTGGAAAAATTGTTAAACAATTTAAATATGATTATTTGTTTACATTATGGTTATAACAAAATTGTTAAAAAAAATACAGAAAAATTCGATAAATTAGCTTTTATAATCACTTTTCCAATTAAGTACTATAATTACACCTTTTTAATTAGAATTTATTTAATACTTATATTTTACTCATTACTTAATTCATATTTCTATTTAAATATAGCAAAAGATTAAAAATTTTTGAAAATTTCACAAAAATGAGCAGAAGTTTAAGGGGCACAACTAGTGTGAGTGACTGAAAAAAACGGTGATTTTTAGGAATTTTTTTCAGGGAAATTATTGCTTCTAATTTTTTTTAAAGTTTTGTACATGTATATTTGTATAAATAGTGAACATTTTGTAATTTTTTTAAAGAAAAATATCTTTTTTTAAAAAAGTTATTCGCTATCTCCTGAGTATCCGAAAAAAAAGTTCTCCCACTGCTGCAGTGATTGCGGCCTTCTCAGTGACCTAAATCAAAAAAACCAAAAAGATTATTAAACTAGATGATATTTGCCGTACAATGACCCTCGGATGTCAAAAAATATTGAATTGCAACAAAATGGCGGAGTTTTGAAAAAGCTTTTAAATTTCGCCAAAAAAATCCGATGGTTTTTGGCATCCCAAAATTTTATTTTTCATCCAATCAAAAAACTGGAGCCTCATTGTACGGCAAATATCTTCTAGTTTAATAATCTTTTTGGTTTTTTTTATTTCAGTCACTCAGAAGGCCGCAATAACTGCAGCAGTGGGAAAACTGTTTTTTTTTGGATATAGCGAATAACTCTTTAAAAAAAAGATATTTTTCTTTGAAAAAATTACAAAATGTTCACTATTTATACAAATATATATGTTCAAAACTTTAAAAAAAATTAGATGCAATAATTTCCCTGAAAAAAATTCCTAAAAATCGACGTTTTTTTCAATCACTCACACTAGGTGTGCCCCTTAAAGGTTTATAAAAAATAAATTTGAGCTACATTTCAAAAACCCTTGGAGGGTTAAATTACTGTTTATTTGTACTATCATTTAGCACTAGAGCCAACCGGGAAAGAAAAATGTGTCGCACAGTGTTATTTGTTTATAAAAATTCAATTATCTTGAAACAATAGAATTGAAAAATTTCAAAAATCATATTTTCCAGAATTTTCAAAAAAACTTTGCGAAAATTCAATTTTATTAAAAAATTTTAAGTGTGTATCTTTTTTTAAATTAACTAATAAAAATTCTAATTATTAATCTTCGCACAAAGAAACATGAGTACATTAGAATGTGACTCTTTATAAAATTCAACTATTTATCAATTATTAAATTAAAATACTTTGAAAATTCGATTTGTTAAAAAGTTTTTAATGAAATTCTTTAATAAATTTGATTATTTTCAGTTAAATTTCACAAATTTTCTATTAATTCGATAATTTTTTTTAAATATATTTACATACTATATTTGAATCAGTGACTGATATTTTACTATAAAATTAAATATCTTTAACTAATTCAAATTTAGAGAAAAGTATAAATACCTAGGTATAAAAATTGAAATAAAAAGCGATTTTTTAAAAACAAATTGAAATAATAAAACTTTTTTTAATTTGGTGAAAAAATTCCCGGTTTGGCATCAAATTCCTGGCTTATTCCCGGTAAAATTTAAGAAGAGGGGGGTGGTTTCAAAAATTCTACCTTTTCTTTAACAAAAAAAGCTTCTTTATTTTTTTTAATTTTATTTCTTATGTAGATTTTTTCGTGCATTGAACGTTGAGATCTTCAACTATTATATTTTATACCTCTTTAATAATTGTTTAAACGCAAAAAGTACATTTTTTCCGTATTTTTTGTTTTGTACTTTAATTAAAATTAGTTTTTGTTAAAAAAAGCTGCTTTGGGGATTTTAAAAACCCAAGTGCGCATTGTTAAAACCCAAAAAAATTTTGCACCGCGTTCGATAATAAAATACTGTTTTAGAGAAGCTCAAATATAATATTTGTATATGAGTAAAAAGAATTAATTAAAGAAATTTAAATTTAAATTTTTAATTTAAATTTCTTCGTATTATAAACAAGTGTAAATAAATAAACAATTAGTAATAATTAAGAAAAGAATTGTTTCAAAAATGGAATAAACAATCTCAGAATTATTGAAAAAAATGATTAAAAAATTTATTATAGAATCAATGAAAAAATTATTTAAAGAATGAATTAAAGAAACAATTGAAGAGATGTCCAAAAAAATAATTAAAGAAACAACTAAACAATTATTGAAATTAATTAATAATTAATTAGAATTCTTGAAAGAATTATCAAATACTTTAATTAAATTTATAGGTACTTTATTTATAATTAATATTATTAATTGTTTTTTATATTTAATTTATAATTTATCAAATTGAGACAAAAAACGAATTAAAAGTGTTGCGACGCAACATACTTTTAATTCGTTTTTTGTCTCAATTTGAAATCCTTAAAGAGACTGCATTCATTTATACCAAATTATTATAATTGAGATTTTAAAAGACAAGCAAAAAAATTACTCATATACAAATAAAAGATACAAATAATTGTATCGTGAGGATATTTATATTAATATTGTTTTTGTTGATCGTGAAAATGATTTTTCCGAATGAAAAACTCACCTATTGGAGATGCGGTGTTGGCCTCTCGAAGACTGACGGTTTCCGGTTCGATGGAGGCTTCATCTTCTTCGATCAAAGGCGGTGGTGGTGCCAATGGTCGAGTCTCGTAACCCCAGTGTTGTCGAAAAGCTCGAGCACCCCCATCAAGTCGAATGCGAGGCAGCTCCACGAACATGGCATCACCGAGCTGGAAGAAAAAAAGAAAAACAACAAAATTACTCACTTTACCGGAAACAATTTTTTATCAATATTAAAAAAAAAGTGTTTACTACATAAATAAATAATCACTGCTAGACTGAAAGTGTTTTAAATAAAATTAAAACACGAATCTTCATGTTTTCTAACAATACTATTATAAGTTGTTTAATTTAAAAAAGGTTTGAATTTGAATTTTTTGAATGTCTTAATTTCTGTGGAAAATCCTGTTCCGAAAAAATATTATCTGAGGTTTTTAGAGATAAAAATGTGACTAATTTCCCTCCTTTAAAAATTAAAAAAACCTTTATGGCATTTTTATAACCTAAAATCTTCGAAAAAATTGTTTCTTTTCGATTTTGTTAAAAAAAAAATTGTTTTTCACGCTTAGTATCGACGCTAACTTCCGGGACTTGAATAAATTAAAAAAAAACAACCTGCTTTTAATTTTGTCAGTGATTACTATTTTCTGATAATTTACAAAAATCTTGCGAAAGAACAAAAGAAGCTGTTTTAATCTCTTAAAAATAAAGCAATTTGAAATTTGAACATTTTCATTTTTAGAAAAAAGCCGCATTCCAGTTCAATTATATGTACATCTCTCTACTGAGAATGACACTCACATAACCTCGAACGATGTCCATCTTCATTAGAAAAAGAAAAAATTCACTCAATTTCAACTCTGACCTTCTTCTTTATTAAGTAAATTTGCATACGAAACATCAATAAATTCTTTAATAACTTTCTTTAACTTGCACAAATTCTCCTTTAAATGTAATGGCATTTTTAATTTATACTATCACTTTTTATGCCCTTCTTCTTTTCAAATATCCTCTTTAATTCGAAACCCTAAATGACAAATTAACTCGTAAACAACTGTCACTATATTATTATTAATTTTTAGGTTCATAAAATAAGCGTCGTCGCTGAGCGTCGAAAACGCTTTAAAAAAAACAACGAAAAAAAATGAACAAAACAAACGAACTTTTTCTAAAATTTTTATAAATAGAATAAATAGTGTCAAAAAATATTTCCATTCCCCCAAAAAAAAAAAAAAAAAATAGTTTTCGTTGCTTAGCGCCGACGCTAACTTCAAACCTCAAAAAATAAAAATAAGAGAAAATTATCCTCTACATCAGTAATTATACAAATAATTTCCCCACGAAATTACACTTAAAACTTTCACAATAAAAATTCCAGGGTTAAATTTACGTTAATTATGCATGCACACACAAACACTTTATAATAAAGAAACAATATTTTTGAGGCAAATGGATCCTTGATGGTATAAAACATTGTAAACTGCGCGGGTCATGAAGGACTGAAAGAGTATCTCTCTCTCCGGTTTCTCTCAAAATATCGTTGGATTGACCTGACGACACGCTGACGTCACTAATTAAAGCTCGTTGAACAGTGAAGCGCACGTCGAATTAAATCCGAGATAAATGAGAGAAAATAGAGGGAAAAAAAATTACAAAAGAGTCACCGAACCTATTATAATTTTGGAATGATAAAATTTAATATGAGAGATACGAGATACGAGATTTTAATAAATACCGTCACGTTTATTATTTAAGCAAAGAGTCAAAAACTAACTATTGTTTTAGAATTATAATAATAATTATTATATAATAATTAAAGACGATCGAGTGATAAAATCATTATTTTATATTATTATTATTATTATTATTATTATTTTTAATATTAAATATAATTGATACTATCATTATTAATTACCATTAATAGTAATTACCCTTAGTTTTAATTACCATTAATATTAATTCACAATTAGCAGCCACTAATTATTATATAAAAGCGATAAACTAATAGGCGCCAATTTAAGTTCCGAACAATCTGAAAAAATTTTAAAACTACCGGGATTCGAACCTAGCATTACGCACGGTGAGTCGAGCACTCTAACCACAGGACCACGAATACTATTTCTAACTGAATTTCATTTTCACGTCTATTTTATCGAATTATTTACTGAATCAACAAAAAAATCGAATTGTTTATACCACACACTAAAATTATTTAATACGAAAATAAATAAATAAAATAAGTGTAAAAATAAATAAATAAAATAAGTGTAAAAATAAATAAATAAAATAAGTATATGAATAATAAATAAACAAATAAAATAAGTAAAAAAAAATCTGAATTATTTTGACCTATATATTGAAGAAAAAAATGAAAAAAATAAATTGAAAAAAAATTCCTATGTGAAGAATTGAGAAAAAACAATCAGTTAATGTAATAAAAATATGAAAAGAATTATGAAAGAGATCCAGAAAGGAAAAAAAAAAGAAATCATCGCGTGATTGTTCATTCAATGAAAAGAAGGTGGATAAGATTCGAATCAATTTCGAGAGGCAATCACATAAATTGTACATCGTGTGTGTGTAACCGTTAAGATAACTGTTTGCGGGAAAACTTATCAAGTGGAATGTGATCTTCTTCGTATGCAGTGAAAGTACATATATACACTGAGCATACATGAAATTTGATTGAAAGTAACGGATTTCGTCACACATAAGGGCGAGAAAATATTTCCCAGAAAAAAAAGGGGAAAAAAATTACACTTTTATTTTTCCATTCTTTCAATTTTAATATTGTAGGTACTACCGCCTATAATATTTAAAATATGACGTAAAATATTATACAATGACTTTACATTATATGTAAATATTTCCATATATAAAAAATTTACACTTGCCATATGTTTCCTTTGAAATTTATTTGATAAAAAAGAAATAAAATAATCGTTAAAACATCAGTGGAATTTATGATCAACTCTTGAGAGAAAAAAAATTTTTTTCTACATAATCCACAAGTTTTGAACGTTTAAATAAACGACAATATTTTTTTTTTTACTTTATTTAATTAGAATTTTATTTAAAATAATTATTTTTTATATTAAAGAAATTAATTCTTAACAAGGGAAAACAAAACAACATTTTTTATAATCTTATTTTAATTATTGATCTAGAAAGTATAAATAATAAAAAATAAATCAAAAAAATGTTCGAATATTTGCGAATTTCTTTAATTGTAAAATAATTCGAAAACAATTGTTTTATTTATTATAATTATTTAATCATTATTATTTTTCCATTGAAATTAAGATTTTCAAAAATTTCAAATTCAAATCTTTTGAAATTTAATAACTTCTAAGAATATTATTAAAAACATGAAGAAATCGATCACTCCGAGTCTTCGACTCGGAGCAATCAATTTCTTCATGTTTTTATAATAATTAACGATAATAACCCAGGGATAAAATAATTATTTTATATAAGAATATTGTTACTCCTGACTTCTTCGAAATTATTTTCATCATTTAAATTCAATTATTATTTTCTAGAATTTCTAACCAAAATTCTTCTTTAAATCAATTATTATTTAAAAGAACGAAAAATTTAGATTTCCAAATATTTGGATTTGAAACATTTTCAAAATTCAATTATTTCTAAAAATCCATGCTAAAATGCTTTTAATATTAAATTATTTACAATTTTAACTGAAATTCATTTTTAAATCAAATTTTATTAGAAAATTCTATGAGAATTCAATTATTTAAGTACAAAAATAAATAATAATTTATGAAAATAATTTAATTTTATAACAATTTTTGAAAATAATTCATGCGATGAATTTTATTAAATTTTGTTTAAATAATTGAAATTTTGACAAGAAGTTTATTAAAATTTTTGACAATAATTTAATTCTTGAAAAGAATTTCGCTACCTATTTATAAAAATTAATTTAATTATTAACGAGAATTTAAAAAAAAAATTTGAAAATAATTTAATTTCTGCAAAGTATTTTATTACTTTTCAAAAAATTGAATTCTTGTGATAAATTTTGATATTTATGAAAATAATTGAATTTTGGAAAAGAATTTTATTAAAATTCCTTTAAATAACTGATTTTATGGGGAGAATTTTGTTGTTTAACCAGATAATTGAATTCTTTTGCAGAATTACTTGAAGATTTTTTGAAATTAATTGATTTCCTGAGACGAATTAAAAGTTATTTATGAATATAATTGAATAATTGCAACGAATTTTATTATTTTATTGAATAATTGAATGTTTCTTAAATTTGAATTTTTTCGTCAAGTTTTAATAAAATTTTTAAGAATAACTGCATTTTTCGAGGAATTTATTTAAAATTGTATTAAAACTATTTAAAATTCTGTCGTGAAAATAATTGAATTCCGAAATGAAATTTTATTATTTATGAAAATAATTAAATGTTTTCGTAGAATTTTATCAAAAAATTTTTTTCAATAATTAAATTTTTTGATAAATTTTATGAAAATAGTGATTATTAAAAATTATTGAAATGCGAAAAACTTTTAAAAATAATTGAAATTTTGCAAAAAATTTTATTTAAATTTTTTGAAAATAATTTAATTTTTGGCGAAAAATTTTGCTATTTATAAAGATAATTGAATTCTTGACGAAATGTTCGTTCAAATTTTTAAAAATAATTGAATTTTTGTGAAGAATCTTTTTATTTATCAAGATAATTTCATTAAAACTTTTGAAATAATTAAATAGTATTAAAAAATTCATTCTGGTAAGAAATAGAAGAAAATTTTAAAGGTTTTGTATTAGAATTCATGGTAGTTTCATAGTTTATGAGGCAAACAAAAATGACACTAAAAAATCAGAATTTTTTTATGAATTACAAAAATTAAATTTTTTCAGTATTTTTAATAAAAATCCCTAACTTTTCCCTAACTTCCCTGATTTTCCTGACCTATGGAAACCCTGATAAATAATAAAATAAAATAATAAAAAGTAAAAAATATTTTGAAAGCAAAAACTGTAGAAAAATAGGTAGAAATATTTTTTCCAAAATCATTGCTTTTTGAAATATTGTAAAATTTAGCAACGTGTGGTAATGACCTCGTGATTGTGAAAAAATAGACGCGAAACATTGAGTTTCGTATTATATTCATGTATATCTAACAAAGTAACACAAACAGTAGGAACATACAGATGCAGTTAATGGGTTAATGTAATTATTATCATGCCGCAAACAAATGGTTCCAATTAGGCAATGCTTGGAGTATATACAACTTGCAACTCCAATTAGTATTCTCCTAATTTTTACAAAAAAAACACCCAAAAAAAGGAAAACAAGTAAAACTGTCTTTGATATAATTAAAAATTCAGCTCATTAAAAATTAAATAAAAGTCTCGGAACTCTTTTCAAAAAGACACGCACTCTCTTTGCGCTAGAAGAAGACAATTATTTTCTTCTATTTCTTCTTGTATTTTTCTTAAGAAATTTTTTTTTATTTTTATTTAATTTTAATTTATTTTTACGTATTTTAATTTCAATAATTATTTATTTTATTTTATATTATTACTCTATTTATTTAGATTTATTCATTTTTGTTTATTTAATAACTTTTCTATTTTTATTTTTTTCTATTTATTTAGATTCATTTATTTAATTTTCGTTTTATTTATTTTTATTGTAAAAAAAAATAATAATTTTTGTATTATTGAAAAATTAATTAAAACTATGAAAAAATTTTCTATTATTTAATTTTAATTTGTTTTATTTATTATATTTTCCTTTTTATTATTTTCTTGAGAAAAATATAAAAAAAGAAGAAAGCGATTAAATAATAAAAATACTAAAATTACACATAATAATTTATACAGAAATGTATATAATAATACAGAAAGGTTTGTGTTAGAAAGCATCTTTTGTGAAATGCGATGCGGATAACAGGTTACGCGGGACAATTGTCGAAGACAAACTAGAGGGAATTGCATTATGGTATATACTCAGCAAGAAGAGGGTGGAAAGGTTGAAGGAGTGTGACTCGGCGGGGGTGGCTTCGAGAGATGAGAAAAGCTGGAAATCCAGGATTGCCTTTACAAATATATGTATATATTAGAAGCTCCGAGACGTTTCTCCTGCAAGAAGACGTCGAGAGGCTGAGAAATTACGCAGAGTCAACGATATCGAGTTCGTCGGTATATACAAAGTAGGCTGCGGAAAACAGACAACGGAATTGAGGGTGGAGAACAAAAACGATAGACAGAGAGAAGGAGAGAGAGAGAGAGAGATTGATTGTAGAGAAACCAAGTGTCTTGAGATTGAGAAAGTAATTGCAATGAACAAGACTAACAAAACTCAATTAAGCAGCATGGCATTTCTCATCAATCATTCACGGACTCATTAAAGTATTTTACTAGCAAAAAAGAGAAAAATTAAAAAAATTAAATTAAACAAATAAAACTTCTATTTAACATTATTTGGAAATCAAAACAAACATGCGACATTTCAGAAAAAAATAAACATATTTCTACGTATATATAGAGCACTGCGTATATTCAAGGAAGATTATTCAACAAACCTTTGTGTGAGACTTGAATAAACAAGCGGTCCCGGCAAATAGCTGCGTCCAGGGGAAAAAGAAAATTCTTTAATTATTATTTACATGCAAGCACACATGGGAATTGTCGAAAAAATAGCAAAAAACGAATGGATAAACTCCTTGTATTGACACTTTTCGAATTCGGAACTTTAAGGTTAGGTTTATCGCATACGGAATTTGAATCGATTTTCCTCGAAGAATTCATTGACAAAAAAAAAATAACAAGAGGAAATAGGAAAATATACCGTGAATCGTAAAAAGAGATACATTTATCGTTCAAAATAGTCAACTTTACCTATTTCATATCTATCCCGAGAATTCTGTGACAAACGCCGTGACAAATGCCACAAATCCATTTTCCGACACTTTTCCTTTTCACTGTATGACTGTAGATCCAAATTTGTTAAAAAAACTGATAAAACTAAACATGCTGGTTATTTGCCAGCATTTTGTTCTACACGTTCTGCACTCTACGACTGTAATCACGTGACGTGACGTTAGTTTCGCATCCGCCATGACACTATACCAGGGCCGTAGGCTCACTTCCCGGGGGCCCGAGACTTCTACATTACCGTAACTAGTAAAATTTTACAGGGGGCGCATGGATTCGCAAACTAAAATTTGAGATTTGATTTTCATAATTAACTGCTCACTAATATAACACTTTTATGAATTTTAATTTAATACAAAATTGTTAGGGCTTGCAGGGGAATTTATACGCGAAATTAGCAAACTCACGTGTTCCACGAGCGCCAAGAGGTGATTTAACTTTCTCAAACGCCAGAAGCAAAATATAATTAATCGTCCACTGATGAGGGTAATTAATATAACGCTCTTGGTATAAATTAATCTACACACATTATTATTAAATATTCCCTCTTCAAGATAAATTTTACAACTAAACTATAAGATCGAAATAAATTAATTTACGTACCATTACAGTGAGACATTTTCAAATATAGTCGTCTCAAAAATGAAGTTCGTTTTCAATGAAAATATTAAATTTATCGATTTACAAACTTTAAATACAAAAAACTATAGATAAAATAATTCTTTTCTGGGATTCTACATTTTGAAAAAAGCTTTTCTTCTTTCCGATGCGGAACGAAACTTATTCACTACCACCCGCACTTGAAACCGTTAGGAATATGAAACTATAGTGAATTGGCGCGAGCAGGTGTACCAATAACGCGAAACAAAAATTGAATAGTGGCGGTAAATTTGAAATTTCTTGAACTAATATAATTATGGCAAATGTTGGAATTAATAAAAGTTCGTAAAATTTCTTTATCTTCTAAGAATAAATAAAGAATTGTTAAATGTGTAGAATAATAATTCAAGATTATGTTAAATTTAATTCAAAAATTGAAAAGAATTTAAATTATTAGACATTAACTTATTTAAGTTATTATTAATCCTTTCACCTTATTAAAAAAATAATAAGTTACTATTATTATTGATAATTTAATTAAAAATAAAAAAGTTATTGTTAAAACTAAATATTTAATAAATTTAATATTTAATAAATAATTTTTTTCCATATTCTAGGAAAACATTTTAGTAAAATAAAAATTATTTATCTTTCAAAGAATAATTGCGAATTTATGAAATGTGTAAAATAATTCAAGATTAAATTTAATTTAATTCAAAAATTCAAAAAAATTTAAATTATTCTACATTAGTTCATAGAAATATTGTTATCTTTTAAGTTTTCCAGGAATATATTTTTATGAAAAAAAATTTATATTTTTTTTATACACCCGTCTTCAGCCTACAAACTTGGATATACAAGTGTCTCTATACAAAATATTTTTCTCGATTACAATTTTTCTTAATAATAACCTTAACTAATTCAATTAAAATATTAAATATATAATATATTAAAAAGTAAAAACTTCAAATAATTTCCAAAAAAAAATTCAATTAAAATTTTTCAAAAAAATTAATTCTACAGAATCAATTTTTATTAGAAAATTCTACAAGAATTCAATTATTTGAATATAAAAATAAATAAAATTGATTGAATAAATGAATTTTTTCTTAAAATTGAATTTTCATAAAGAATTTTATTAAAACATTTTTAAATAATTGAATTCTTTCGACGAATTTTAATAAAATTTTTGAGAATAATTACATTTTTCGAAAAATTTGATTAAAATTGTATGAAAAATAATTGAAATTATGCGATGAGTATTATTATTTCTGAAAATAATTGAATACCTAAGAAGAATTTTATTATTTTTGAACAATATGCAATTTATGAAAATAATTAAATTCTTGTGAAGAATATTTTTTAAAAATAATTATTCAAAAGAATTTTGCTATTTATGGTAGTAAGTGAATTCTTGAGAAGAATTATTTTACAGTTTCTAGAAATAATTGAATTCTTTCTAGAAATTGTATTAAAATTTTTAAGAATAATGACATTTTTTGAATAATTCCTGTAAAATATTAAAAAATAATTGAAATTCTGCAATGAGTTTTAATATTTATGAAAATAATTGAATATATTGCGAAGAAATTTTTAAAAATAAAATTATAATTACGGTGACTAACTTTCCTTGATTATTTTCGAAAAATTTAAATAAAATTCTTTAAAATAATTCAATTATTTTTAATAGAATTTAAAGAAATTTCAATTATTTCAAAAATTTTCAATTATTTGTTTATGAAAATTCAATTATCTTGAAACAACATAATTAAAAGTTTTTAAAAATCTTATTTTTCAGAATTTTCAAAAAAACTTTGAAAAAATTCAATTTTATTAAAAAAATTTAAGTGTGTATCGTTCTTTAAATTAACTAATAAAAATTTTAATTAGTAATTTGATTATTTCTGAAAATAATTAAGTACCTAAGAAGAATTTTATTATTTTCGAACAATATTAAATTTTGCGAAGAATATTATTATTCTTGAAAATAATTGAATTTCTGTAATAATTTGAAAAATAATTTCTTAAAAAAATTAATTAATTAATTAATTAATTTTTTTGTTAGTTAAAAGTATGAATAATTCAGATTTTTTAAGATTTTAATTTGAAACCTTTTAAAAATTCAATTATTTCTAAAAATTCACTCTCGAATGCTTTTAATATTCAATTATAATATAAATTCAATTATATTCAATTATTCAATTATAATATAAAATTTAAACAGAAATTCATTTTTTAATCAATTTTTATTAGAAAATTCTACTAGAATTCAATTATTTAAATGCAAAAAAAAACAATTTATTGAATAATTGCATGTTTCTTAAAATTGAATTCTCATAAAGAATTTTATCAATAAATTGTTAAATAATTGAATTCTTTTGACGAATTTTAATAAAATTTTTAAGAATAGTTACATTTTTTGAGGAAATTGATTCAAATTTTATTAAAAATAATTGAAATTCTGCGATGAGTTTTATTATTTATAAAAAAAAAATTTTTTTAAATTAAAAAGATATAATCTACACGGAGAGAAAATATATATTAAATTTTGTAAAAGTATTTTACAAATTGGGGAAAAAGAGCGACAAAGCGAAATTTTGAAATAGAAAATACTAAACTTTAAAAAAAGATTTGTGAAATTTAGTAAAGTTATATTAGAATTTAATTAATATTCTTGATATTTGATATAATTATACTAAATTTCACATAAGTTTTTTTAAAGTTTAGTATTTTTTATATCAAAATTTCGCTTTGTCGCACTTTTTCCCCAATTTGTAAAATACTTTTACAAAATTTAATGTATATTCTCTCTCCGTGTATATTATTAATTATTCCTCCTTATTAAAAAATAATAAGTTTCTAATTATTATCAACAATTTACTTGAAAATCAAAAAATTATTCAACCAAATTATTGTTAAAACTAACTTAATTTAATAAACATTTTTTTTTTGTCATATTCCAGAAAAAAATTTTATTAAAATAAAAATTCTTTATCTTTGTTTCCTATCCTCATTCTCTCGTCAATAACCGGACAATCCATATTTTTTCCCTCTCAATGGCTACAATTTAAAAAAAAAAAAAAAATCATGATTTCAAAGAAGAGATCAAGCCAGAATTGTTATTGATTCTGAATCCGAATGATCACGTCGGATAAAATTTGCAGGCTGCTGCCATAAGATCACTCACTTCTCTTTCCTCGCCTCTCATCCCGTCATTTGCACTGCAAGTTTCGAAACGTTATATACAATAATAACAATAATCGATCTCTATAGCCCAGGAACTTGGGATCGATTCGATTTATTGGAAAGAAAAACCCCTCATTTATCTCCCTGCCCCCCCCCCCCCCCACCCCTCCCTACTCTCTATATATATTTCCCTCTGCGAGTTTTATAACCATCACAGAGCAAACTACTCCCTCACATTCTGGGTGTTAAATAATGGGTTGGAAAGGATCTCAAGAGTCGTTGCATTCTCTCCATCAGGTCCTTTGCTGAGTTGCGAGGCCACTCCTCACCCGTCGCAGAGAGCGTCGACTAATTGAAAAACTTTTCCAAACGAACAATCTCTTCAACGAAATCGACAAGGATAAGAAAATTGTAAAGAAAACAAAAGACAACTGCTTGTCTTACAACTATAAGAGAAATTCTTTAAAGGTCTGTTAAATACTATGAAGAAAAGGGAACAGTTCTTTTTTCTATCGCCACAAAAAAACACACCATTTTTCAGAATAATACTCAATTATTTCTATAAAATTCTCCCTCTCTCTCTCTCTCTCTCTCTCTCTCTCTCTCTCTCTCTTACTATTTCTCCTTCTCTTAATATTCACCGTTGAAAGTTCGAAAATTTATTTCAGATATTTATTGCAGTCTGTTGTTTCATCTTTTTAGCCCAGGTCAATAAAGTGCCTATTTATTCCCCCTAGGGCAATAATGATGATTTTATTCACCATTATTGACCTAGGTTAATAATGAGCACTTTATTGATCAATTGGACTGAAATTATAACAATAATGAAAATTATAACAATAATGAAAATTATAACAATAATGGTAATTTTATTGACCATTATTAAAATGATCATTATTGCCCT